TCTACTCACCAGCCTCTAGTGGCTTCCTTCTCACTTAGGAAGAGCCAAAGTCCCCATGAGGTCCCACGTGAGCTGGTCCCCTGCGGCCCTATGCCTGCGTCTCCTGAGCCCTCTCCCTTGCTCACTCCATTTCAGCTTCATTGGCCTCCTTGCGGGACCTCGACCCTGCCTTAGGGCCTTTGTACTCGCTGTTCCCTCTGCTTAGCCTGTTCTTTAGGTGTCAGCCTCCTTCACTCAGATGTCACCTTCTCAAAGGGCCTGCCTGGCTGTTCTCCCTAGATTGCGGCCCCCCACTCCTGTCCCCTCTGACTTCTGTCTCCTTAACATTTACCACTGTTGAACTTACAATGCACGTTACTTGTTCATCTTATTGATTATTGGTCTTCCCCAAAGAAGATAAGCCCCAGGAGGGGAGGGGGCTTTGTTTGCTCTCTTCCCTGCACCTAAAACGTTTTCTGGCACAGAGTAGACACTTAAATAAATAAACAAAAAAATATTTGTTGAGTGAATGAGAAGAAGTGAAGACAGTGAGTATTTACAACTTTTTCAAGGATTTTTGTAATAAAGGAGAATGGGAAATTGGGTTGGGGGCAGGAGGAGGATGTGGGGTGAAAGGTTATGTGTCTATAAGTATGAAGACAACAAATATTAGAGCTCATTTGTATGCTCATCCAGAAGAGAGGGGAGTTGACGCAGGAGAGAGAGGAGATAATTTAGCATCAGAGGCCTTGAGAAGGTGAGAGGGAGGGGATCTGGAGCAAGGACAGGTCTTCCATGTAGAGGGGTGCACACAGGGATGCAGGTACGTTGACTCGTGTGGTAGGAGGTGTGGACGTTCCCTTTTGATTGCTTCTCTCTCCTCAGTGAAATAAAGATGGGAGTTATCAGCTGAGTAGAAAGAGGGTGTGGAAGGTTTGAGTAGAGAAGTAGACTGCAGTAGTTTGGGAGAGTGGGGATCTGATAATTAAGAATATGTGGTAGGAATGTGGTGAAGCAGTCTGCAGAAGGAAGTGATGCAGTGATAAACAGTGGCGTCTAAGCTGTGTAAAGAGGAAAGCAAGGACTGGGTGGGGTGGGGGAGCTGGGGCAGAATGGATAGCAGGAGAGGCAGGATAGAGTCAGGAGTTTGCAGGATGGTGGAAAAGTGGTGGGGGGTTGAAGGATCTGGAGAACTAGAGGCCTGAGCCGGAAAGGTGGTTAGAGAGCACGGGGCTTGAAATTGCCAGTTGGAGGAAGGCGCAGTCACTGGTAATGACAGGGTGCAGGGTGTGCCCTGGGAAGACGGGAGCTCAGGTGCTGGGGAGGGAGCCGTTGGTCCTTTTCTCTGTGTGTGTTTGTCTGTGGCTTACTTGTATCATTTTACATATTTTAAAAATGTATCCATGTTGGCACACGCATGCCAATAGACATATGGATGCTTAGGTCCTACCATATGAAATTGTTAGTATTTGACCATTTTTTAATCTGCAAAAATGTCGGTTTCACAGGGTTCAAATGAATATTTTCCCAGTTTTTGCTACTTTAAACAGAGCTTTATTGAACGGCTTGTACGTATCCGTGCCCCATGTGAGTGTCTTTTAGGACCTGTACCTGGGCGTGGGATAAGGGCGACACAGTACTCACAGCTTGACTGGGAGGGGAGAGTGACCCACACTCCCACCAGCAGCAGCATAAGAGTTCCTCCATCTTCACCAACATTTGTCTTCCAGCTGCTCAATTGCTGCCAGTCTGATGGATGTGGCATTATTTAGCATGTAGGTAACTGCAGGAACCTTCTACCTGTGTGGCACAAAGTCAGTGGTCTATAAATGCTGGTGCCATAATTAATAGCAGGCTATAAATCCCATAAATGACGTTTTTGCTAATGATTGATTGAAAGGAATACATTGTTAAGTGAAATAGGTTATGAAGCAAAAGATACACCATGATCCCATAATCTTTACAGTAGATGTGCAGTGCTCATGTTTGGGTGGTAGGATTATGGGCAATACTTCTATTTTGCTGATCTGTATTTTTTAACTTATCTATAATAAACATTTAATGCTTTGTAATTAAAAAATCCTAATTATTTTCATTATTTAAAATGAGATGTAAAAGACTCAGGGGCATGAGGCAATTTTAGCTTAATGTACCAGGCCTCCTGTCAAATCTCTAATCAATCAAAAATTTTTTAAATAAACAAATTAAACTATTAAGGAGCAGAAGAAAAAGAGTCACAGGGCATGCCTTCTGATTTTAGGAATTCCTAATGAAAACTATCAACAGTAACAGCATCTGCTGATGGGGTGACCTCATTGATAACATTGATTGGAGTCCGGGGATGAAAAGATGTTGGCAGGGCTTTTCTGTATTTGTGTGGGTGTGTATGTGGGGTGGTGGTGGTTCTCTCCTCTCACCCTCAAGCACATTATCTGAAAACTAATGCTTCCTGAGTCTGCTTGATACCATGGAACTGTAGTTTTTGACCTTGGCTGCATATTAAAATCATCTGGGGAGCTTTCAAAAAACATTGATGCTTTAATTCCAATCCCAGAGATTCTGTTTGTTCATCTGGTGTGGGCCAGGCGTTGCACTGATAGTTAAAAAAGAAAAAAAAAAAAGTAACTCCAGCTGAATCTCATTTGCAGTCAGAATTGGGAACCATTGCTCTAGAACAAGAGTTGGCGAACATTTTCCAGAAAGGGTCAGATAGTAAATGTTTTATGCTTTGCAGGCCACATGCCTCTGTTGCAAATACTCAGCTCTGCCACTGTAGCATGAAAACAGCCATAGACAATAAGTAAACGAATGTGCGTGGCTATGTTCCAATAAAACTTTCTTTACAGAAAAGCTGGATTTGGCCTGAGGCTATGGTTTCCTGACACCTACTGTAGAAGATACAAAAATATTAAATAGTTTCCTATTTTATTTTAATAATGGTAGAACCTGAAGAGAAGAAAGCTGTGGTTTTGCATGATATAACGAGAAGAATGTAGGATTTGAAGTTTAGAAGCCTTGGGTTCAAATCCTGACTCTAAATTGGCTGTGTAATTTTAGGGAAGTCACTTAACCTTTCTGATCCTTATTTTATGCTTCTGAGAATGAGGGCAATAATAATCTGCACTTCACAGGGTAGTTTTAAAGATCAAATGGAATAAATTATATGAAAGTGCTTTATAAACTGAAAATGCTAAGCACATATTGCTTGTTCTCACAAATTGCTTGTTGCTCAGCATCTTGTAGATTCATGTGTAATAAACATTAAATATTTAAAAGTAAAGCAAATTAGAAAATTTGAATTTAAATGCAGTATAAACATGAAGACTGAGAAAAATGAGTTATACATAATGCATTTCTATTTTCCTAAGCCAACAAAGTGACTTTAGATTGGTAAAAGCTGCTTTTAGAAGAAGATGGTATAAATATACATTTTTCCAAAATAGAGTTTTCTAGGGAAAAATTGGTTTTCATCATGGTTGTGGAGTTTACAACTGTAATGTGCTGGTGGGGAAGCTCAGGAAGGAGGCAGTGTAGAGAGGTGTAGGTAGGAGTTGAGAGTGGAGGCCTGAAGAAGAGCCTTTGCAGGGGGCAGGGGGGCACATCTGTGACCTTCAAGAAAGCGTCGTCCCTGGGGCAGGGACAGAAGCCAAGCTGCAGGCAGTCAGTAGGGAGTGGGCGGAGAGGAAATGGAGGCATTAGGCGGAGACGGCTCTTTCTACCAGTTTGGCAGAAAAGAGAAAAAATAGGGTGTAGCTCAAAAGGGTATTAGGGTCGTGTAGATGTTATCTGAAAGAACCGAGGGCGGTGCACTATTGAGACAGAGGCGCCCAGACCAGCAGAGTGGGAAGGAGTGGGGCGGAGTCCACTGGAGAGGGAGCAGCCTGAGGGCAGTTGAGGAAGAAGAGTTGACAGTGGGTGTGGAGAAACATCCAGGGTGGGGGGAAGGTGACTGCATCCATGGGCAGTGGCGGCCAGACTACATTAAGGAGCAGTGGGGAGGGCCGGCCCCGTGGCTTAGTGGTTAAGTGCGCGCGCTCCGCTGCTGGTAGCCCGGGATCGGATCCCGGTTGCGCACCGACGCACCGCTTCTCTGGCCATGCTGTGGCCGTGTCCCACATACAGCAACTAGAAGGATGTGCAGCTATGACATACAACTGTCTACTGGGGCTTTGGGGGTAAAAAAATAAATAAATAAATAAAATTATATATAAAAAAAAAAGAAGCAGTGGGGAGGAGAGACTTGCAAAGAAGATGTGGTGGATATGAGCAGCTTGATCGGGGCTGACCGGGTTGTCAGTGCGCTGCCCACCCTCTCCTTCACTTCTCTTGCTCTCAGGCTTCACTCCGCCCCGTCAGGTAGACAGGGGGTCTCCTGTGCATGTCCCCCACTCAACTGGAAGCTCCTTGAGTGCAGGGCTTATGTTGAATTCACATCAGTATCTGCTGTAACATTCAGCATAAGGCTTGTGCGTAGCACACTTTTGCTGAATGTCTGTTGAATGCATGAAGAAAGAAATGAAGGAAGGTTGCCGTGAATACAAGATGGCAGGGGCAGTAATCCTTGCATAGTAGGTTTGGTTAGAGCCAGCCTCCCCGCCTCAGTAGAAAGGAAAGGGAGGGAGCCTAGATTCCTAATAAATTAAAACTCGCTTCCTCCTGGGAGCCCACCCTGACCACCTGCTTTCCTCTAGGTCTGGGTTAGATAGCCATACTGTGTGCTCCTATAGCCATCTGCACTTCCTCATGGAATTTATCACCCTGTGGTGAAATGGTCTGTTTACTTGATTGTCTTGTCTGTAGCCCCACTGGACTGGTGACCTTCAATTGAAGGTCGGGCTTATCTCTCTCTTGTCTCTGTGGTTGCATTACAGCACAAAACCTGGCACACACAGCGCATAATAGATTCTCAGTAAGTCTGTGTGCAGTTGATACAGATGAGCTGGGTGGAGATCTGAAACCTTGAGAACTAGTTGTAAGTTTTGTCTCCAGGTCTCTTTCTCTTTTAAACTCTGCCCTTGTAGGAGGAAATTCGGTACCTTCTAAAGGACTTCAACCCGCTTCATGTCCACAAAATCCAGAACGGCTGCAGATGGTAATGACTGTTCTTCCTGTGTTTTCTTTGGGAAGCAGCTCCTTTCCTCCTTGTCCCTGTTCCTGATGCCCTGGTGTAGCACACCAGCTCAGCAACTCCCAAACCCACACCCACTGTGACTTGGCAGGAGGACATCTGGGAAACCCCCTTTCCATATCTCACCCTCTCACTCGGCAGTCAGGACAACCTCGGTTTAGGAGTCCAGAGACCTGGGTTTATTTTTGGTAATGTCCTTGCTTTGTTTTCTGATTTGAGGTGAGTTATTGTACCTCCCTCGGCCCTGGTTGCTTCTCAAAACTGGGCCTACTCCTATTTTCCCTTTCTTGTTTTCAAGGCAGTAAAATTGCTTTGAACTTTTGGGGGGAATAGTATGAAAGAAGCCCAAGCTGTAGCAATGTGGTAGATAGAAAGAGAGTCAATGCGTGTCTTCTGATCCCCAGACGCCCGGGACAGTCTCTCCCGCCACCCAGCCTGGCCCAAGTCTGGACATGAGTGTGGCTTGTTTGTGTATGTGGATCAGCTCCCCTCCTGGGGCTGCAGAAGGGGAGGGGAGGCTGTTCCTAGGCTCAGGCTTGGTGCTCTCCGGCAGTTCTGCTCTTCTGAGATGTGCTCAGAGCTGCCCTCTCTCTTTGCCTTGCAGCTTCGCGTTTGTGGATCTGGGCTCCATGCAGAAAGTGGCGCTTGCGATCCAGGAGCTGAATGGGAAGCTCTTCCACAAACGAAAACTGTATGTGAATTCAAACAGAAGGTCTCCCAACAGGACCCCTGACACGGCTGAGCGGCCTCAGGAGCTGCCGGTATGTTTTCTGGCCTCTCCGTGCTTCGTGTTCACTCTTCAGAGCCTGGCAGACTGTGCTTTCTGTTCTTCCATCCTCTTCGGAGAAGGCGGGGTCTTGGATGAAATTAGGGAATTTTATGACCTTTAACAGTCAGGAGCAAGGTCTGGTGCAGAAAACTTGGAATTTTTAAATAAAGACTATTCTTGGCAAGGTCAAAAAGGGTTATCAGGCAGTTCAGTCAGGGCTTTTTCAACCCGGGATATTGAAATGGAAGTTTTTCCTTGTTCAGTGGAGCAAACATTAATTGAGTATCTATTGTTTGCACAGCCTTGTTCTGGCTTCTGGTGTGAGGTGTAAGACAGAAGTGAATAAAATCTGGTCTTGTCAGCAAGACAAATATCGCCAAAATATGAGGTATGGGAAGGGGGTAGTTAATGGTGGAGGTTGTGCACGGTCGAGGGCTGTCTTTGTGGACAGAAAAGGGAAGGCCCATCACTAACCCCCAGGAGCTCCCTTCAGGTGGGGTGGGCCCATTCTCAGTAGGTAGAGGTGAGCCAGGAGCAAAGGGTCCCACTTCAGAGCCTGAATTATCAGGGATTGACTTCGCTGCATATATGAGGAAATCTGAACAACAGTCACTTAAAGAAGTTAGCTATTTGTGTTTCTTTCCCATAGAAGAATTCAGGAGTTAGGGAGTCTGAGGTTGGTATGGGAGCTCCATGATGTTATCAGGGTTCCAGGCAAGAAGAAAGGGGAGAGGCAGTGAGTAAAGGGCTACGTCCTCATAAAAGGTGCGTTCTCAGAAGCCCTGACCTCAGTCCTGCTTGTGTTTGCTGTAGAGAACTTCAACTCATGGCCTTAAATGCAAAGGAGGCTGGAAAATAGCTTTTAAAATAGGCATGTTGTTGCTAAACTTGGGGTTCTGTCAGCAAGGAAAGAGAGAATGCATATTGGCAGGCAGTTGACAAGGTCAGCCACAGCTGGGGAGGTTGGAGATGGGGGTTGAGAAGTGGACTGGAAACACCGCAATAAGATTGTTGGAGCTGGCCCCCCTTGCTAGTTCCAATCTGTTTCTCTTCCTTTCTCTTTAAACCCTTTCTCTTTAAGCTGGTGTAGCTCTTTGGAAGAGCAGGCTGTCCGATTATACTACTTACTGACCTTTTTGGTTGCAGTCACCTACCATTCTCTCTGTCATGCCCCCTTGTTCATGGATAACTTCAGCCTCTGGCTCACTATCTTTCTCTCCTAGGTGCACTCAAATTCACTGTCCATGTAGATGCTGTGTCTGAGAGTCCGGCCCCTTACTTCCTAGACCGTCGTACCTTTAATGATCTTTTTTCCTGCTTGGTCACAGTTTCTCATTCCCGTAGCTGTATGTCAGACTTTGTCATTGTTCATAACTGAACATCTCCAAAATATCCACTTCAAGCATCTGACTCTGCTCCTCCCCCCTTCTTTGCAGCTCTCTTGCTCTAGAAGAGTGGGTCTCAAACTTGAACAGCATCAGAATCAACTGAAGAACTTGTTTAACAGCTTGCTGAGCCCCACCCGCAGAGATACTGACTGAGGGAGTCTAGGGCAGGGCCTGAGAATTTGCACAAGTGCCAGGTGGTGCTGGTGCTACTGTTCCTGGCACCACATTTTGAGTAGCAAGGCTGTAAAGCCCTCAGTCCGACAATTAGACACATTGGGACCGTATCCATTGCCCCCACCATTTCTTCACTATTCAACCCTCTCTTTACTCCCTCACTTCCCTTCTTAGCTTCGATTCCATAGTTATAACTGCCTAGTTTAAACATCTTTAATTCACTAGGTCATGTCTTGCAAAACCCCACTCCCAGTTGAACCCAGCCCTCTGCCTGTTCTGAAGCTGCCCGCTGAGCCACTGAAGACATTCACACCACCTTGCTAACTGGTCTCTGTCTTGCTGTATAGTCACAGCTTTCCCACTCTTCCACATTGACCTGTCGTGAAATTCTCTAATCTTTTCTGCTGTTATGTCCAATCTGCAATTAAGCCCATTTAATGACTTTTTCATTTTAGATAGCGTATTTTTCCATTTCCTTTTGGTTCTTTTTTTGCCCCTTTCTCTGTTGAACTCTTCCATCTTTTCACCCATTGTGTCTATCTTTTCTTCTAGATTCTTTAACATATTTATGTTACTTATAAAATCATTTTCTGCCAATTCCAACATCTGGGTCATTTGTGGCTCTGCTTCTATTGACATTTACCTCCTTGATTATGGGTCAAGGCTTCTTTAAAAATATAGTAATGTTTTATTGTATGTTGGATATTGTGGATGTTATATTGTAGAGCCTTTATATTATGTTCTTTAAATAGTGTTGAATTATTTTTCTAGCAAAAATGAAATTACTAGCCAAACTTTTGATCTTATTAAAGTGGATTTTTTTGTTGGGATTGGTGTCCTTCAATTTGAGTCTTAGTTCTTGGGAAAAACCTTTTCCTAGGGCTTGGCCTTTTAGGGTCTCGGGTGAGGGTCTTAGGGTGCTTACCAAGGTCTTTCCATTCTGGCTGAGTTGGAACTCCATTGTCTCCCCAGCACTGGGAAACCTCCCATATCTGTGTTCCTCTCTCAGCTCTCTCTCCCTTACCCACAACAGCAGCTCTTCTCTCCAAGGCCTCCCAGAACTTGCCCTGCACGTGGGCAGCTTAGGATTCAGCCAAGGACCTGAGGTGAGCCCCTAGATTTCTGGGACTTTTCTGTGGTTCCTTCCTTTCTGGTACCCTGACCCACAAGTTCCTGGCAACCAAACTCTTATCTGTTTCTTCTGCCCAGAGAGACTGCCCCTGACTGCTTGAGCTCTGTTTCCCTTTTCTGTGGTTTGGAAAAATGCTCCCCTGGGCAGAAGGCCAGAGGGAAGGTAGTGCTCACCCCTAGTGCTTTCCTTTTCTCAGGCAAATGCCTTCTGCTGTCCACTGTCATTAGTCTGTGCCAGATATGATTAGTTCATATATTCTGTCCAGTTTTAGAGTTGTTTGGGGGTGGGAGAGTAAGTTCTGTCATTTCAGAACCACGTACCAGAAAAGTGTGTTATGGGGCTCACCTTGCTTCTTTTGGGGATGGATATGGTTTCCCAGGAATATTCCCAATACTTTTACGTTAGAAAAAAATAATCAAAAGATGAACACAAATCTCCATACTTTTGAAAATTTAAAAACACTTGGGTCAAAGAAGAAATCATAACAGAAATTTAAAAATACTTAGAACTGGATGATAAGGAAGGTACTTCCCATCAAAAGTTGTGGAATACAGTGAAAGCAGTACTTATAGGGAAATGTGTAGTATTGAATGCTTAAATGAGCAAAGAATACAGGTTAAAAATTAATGAGCTATGACCTGATTGAGGAAGTAGATAAAAAGTAAAAATAAACTCAAAAATAGAGAGCAGACATAAAATTTTAAAAACAAAGTTCTGCTTTAATTTTGTAAACAAAGCTACAGTTACATGTCAATTATCTCTCAATAAAGCCAGGGGAAAGCATAAAAAACAATGCTACAATAGAAGGGATCAATAAAGCCAAAATTTCATTCTTCAAAGAGATATGAAATAGAAAAACCTTTGGCATGATTAATCAAGGAAAAAGGAGAAAAGGGCATAAATCAATATTAGTAATGAAAAAGAAATCAGCAGAGATTAAAATATAAGATAGATCCAGCAGAGATTAAAATATAAGAATATGGTAATAAATTTGAAAACTTGGAATAAAGGACACATGTCTTAAAGTATATCATTTTTAAAACTAATATAAGAACCCTGATAGTCCTATAGCTGTAAAGTAGTTGAATCATAGTTTATAGTCTTCTCGCAAAGAAAATACCAGGCCCAGGTTGTTTTATAGGCAAATTTTACCAAATTTTCAAGGAACAGAAATTCCAATATTATGTAAGTTCTTCCAAAGAGTGAAATAAGAGAGAGGCTCCCTGGTTCATTCTATGAGGCCAGTATAACCTTGGTATCAAACCAGACAGGAGAGCATAAGAAAGAAAAATTGCAGGCTGGTTTCACTCATGAATACACATGCAGTGTTTCTAAACCAAATATTGGCAATGTGAAGTCGGTATTGGCTAATGAAGGTAGTAAATCATGGCAAGTTGGGTTTCTTTCCCAAAAATACAAGAGTAATTTAATATTAGAAACTCTATAAATGTCTATTACTACATTAACAAATTAAAGGATGAAAACCATATGATCATCTTAAATAGACACAGCAAAAGCATTAGATAAAATTCAGCACTAATTTATGATTTAAAAAATAAAGATTCTTAATAGCTAGAAATCGAAGGTTATTTTTAGTCTGATAAAGGCTATCTATTAAAGCTGTACAGAAATAATATTTTAATGGAGAAACATAAGCATCCTCTTTTTTTTTTTTTTTTTTTTGGTGAGGAAGATCAGCCCTGAGCTAACATCCATGCTAATCCTCCTCTTTTTGCTGAGGAAGACTGGCTCTGAGCTAACATCTATTGCCAATCCTCCTCCTTTTCCCCCCGCGCCACAAAGCCCCAGTAGATAGTTGTATGTCATAGTTGCACATCCTTCTAGTTGCTGTATGTGGGACACCGCCTCAGCATAGCCAGAGAAGTGGTGCATTGGTGCGCGCCTGGGATCCGAATCCGGGCTGCCAGTAGCGGAGCACGCACTTAACTGCTAAGCCACCGGGCCGGCCCCCAGCATCCTCTTTAAAAACAGGAACAAGATAAGGATGCCCACCATCACCACTTCTGTTCAGCATATACTAGAGGTTCTAGTTTTGTCCAGTAAGATAAGAAAAATAAGTTAAAGGCATACATTTTGGAACAGGAGAAACAAAATTGTCATTATTTACAGATGATATTTCTTTACATAGAAAAACTTATTTAACAAGATCGCTGAATATATAAGATCAGGTATACCAAAATCAATTGCACTTATATTTGCCATGCATAAACAACAAAAAATAATTTAAAAATATAACATTTACAAGAGCAATTTAAAAAATTAAGGTACCTAGAAATA